CTTGAGGACTGTCATTTCTCTCTAACCCGTGAGTCCTGGTGATTCAATGCAGGTCATCAGACTTGGTGTCAATCTCCTTTACTTGCTGAGCCATCTTGCTGGCCTATGAGGTCTCATTTTAAAAAATTCTCAAACCAATAAAACAATAATCAAACCACCACAACAGGCCAAACCATCATAAAGTGCCATGATCTGCGCTGCATGACTTAGGGATTGACCTGACTGGGGTTGTGGGGGATGAGGAAATGACAGATACATGCACAGAAAACCTGGGTTCAGGTGGGCTGCACACTTGGGCTGGAAGCTCTGATGGAGATGCACCAGCAGCATCCCAGAAGCTCTGCATATTCATTATGTACTGTACCAAGGAAGAGGAGGTGGTGTAGCCATAAGGGAGCAGGCTCAGGCTGCAGTCATCGAGGAAAAGGAAGTTGTGGTTGATAGTTTCTGCACACACTTATTTTAGGTAAAGTCCAACCATTCCTTGACATCCATATTATGCCTTGACGTTCCCCTGAGCCTGACCTGGGGAAGGCCTTGCTATTCCCATGGGTCTGAGGCATTGGGGTCCGTGGCATATCTGTACGCATGGCAGTAATTCACTCAGGACCATCTCCCCTCCACAATAAAGAATTCATTTACTCCCTTATGAATTGACTGAAAAGTACCCTGTGTCACCCACAGTGCGGAATAACCAGAGAAGCAAAAGAAAAGGAGCCTGCAGCCCAGTGATGACGTAGTATCCACAAACCCATGTCCATTTGCTAGCCAGAAAGGGGTGGAGTGCAGAAGGAGGAGGCACTGAGGCTGTCTGGAAGGCTGTGGGATGCTCTTGGAGCTGGCCAAACTTGACCAAGATTTTCAAGGAAGGGCTATGGATGTCAAGGATCCTGAATGAGGAGAGGAACAACAACCTTGCTTCTCAGCCTGCCTCTGCCAATGGATTCCTGCCATGCTGAAGGCACACAGCACTCTGGTTATGGCCCAGACATCTGTTCCCTCAACTCTTGGGGCTCATCTGTTTTAGATGTGGTATGAGCTGACATCGACCAAGCCTGAAAGCAAATGTTCATGACTCAGAATACAATCATTAACTCACATGAGGAAATACAGCTGCCAGAAGAGCTGAGCAATTGGACTGGCCTCAATAGGACATTTGCCCAAGAGCCAAAGCTCTATGTCTGGCTATCAGATCTGCTTAGTGATGTAGCAATCTGCAATATTTGTGGAGCAAACTTCACAACAAATGACAGGGTCGATGAGAGTACACTGTGGGCCAAATACTGAGCAACACTCTTCACCTGCAACAAATAGGAAGGAAAAATGAGGACTTTGGCTCACAGTTTTGGAGGCTCTAGTCTATAACTCATTGACCTCATTGTTTTGAGCCTGTGATGAGGCACCATATTACAGCAGGGGCATGTGGCAAAGCAGCCTACTTACCTGACCACAAGGGAGAAAAAGAGTGGAGGAAGGGAGTGGAACACTACCAATGCCTTCAAAGGAACATCCATAATGACCCAAGGCTCATTATAAGGACACAAGGCCTTACCTCCTATGGTTCTTCCACTTTTCAGGTAGCATACACTAGAAATCCAGACTTTAACATATGGACCTTTAGAAACATTCCAGAATCAAAATATAGTGCATGCATTATCTTTTATAAACATTGAAATTATTTTTAAACAATTGGTTTTAGCTGAAGGACAACTATTCCTCAATATCCGTACTAGGACCAGGGGAAGGCCTTGCCATTTCCATGGGTCTGAGGCATTGGGGTCTTTAACATGGCCATACTCTGTGGTGGTATATTGTGTCCCCCAATATATTGTACACCCCAATAAACTTATCTGGGGGTCAGAGAACAGGACAGCCATTCTATTAAACATAAAGGTTAGGCAGTGGAAGCACATGCCTTTAATCCTAGCATTCTGGAGGCAAAGATCCGTTTGGATCTCTGTGAATTCAAGGCCACACTGGGAACAGAGCCAAGTGTGGTGGTACACACCTTTAATCCCAGGAAGTAATATGGCAGGACACAGAAAGGTATATAAGGCATATA